ACGTGTAGATAAATGTCACACGTGTAGATAAATGTCACACGTGTAGATAAATGTCACACGTGTAGATAAATGTCACACGTGTTGATAAATGTCACACGTGTAGATAAATGTCACACGTGTAGATAAATGTCACACGTGTAGATAAATGTCACACGTGTAGATAAATGTCACACGTGTTGATAAATGTCACACGTGTTGATAAATGTCACACGTGTTGATAAATGTCACACGTGTTGATAAATGTCACACGTGTTGATAAATGTCACACGTGTTGATAAATGTCACACGTGTTGATAAATGTCACACGTGTTGATAAATGTCACACGTGTTGATAAATGTCACACGTGTTGATAAATGTCACACGTGTTGATAAATGTCACACGTGTTGATAAATGTCACACGTGTTGATAAATGTCACACGTGTTGATAAATGTCACACGTGTTGATAAATGTCACACGTGTTGATAAATGTCACACGTGTTGATAAATGTCACACGTGTTGATAAATGTCACACGTGTTGATAAATGTCACACATGTTGATAAATGTCACACATGTTGATAAATGTCACACATGTTGATAAATGTCACACATGTTGATAAATGTCACACATGTTGATAAATGTCACACATGTTGATAAATAAATAAAATAATAAATGTTTTAAGCCTAGCCTTGAATATAGAGACCGTGTCCGAACGAAGGTGAGACAGCAGTAGCCACAGCTAGGCTAGCCCCGGCTACAACACCAAAGATTTATGGATAGGGTTGCCAACCCGGAATCGTCCCGTATTATAGAAAAACTATGTTCGTCCCGTATTGAACTGATACGGGACGGCTTTTGTCCCGTATTTTCAGAGCTACCTTAAATGCATCACTCACTCACACGCGTGACACACGCGCAGACAGTAATCACCGTTTAAGCGTCTACCTTTCGGCCAATCAGTGTCAAAGGGGCGTAGGCACAGACGTTGGTTTAGTGTTGACAAGTGTCAGCGTGGGCCGTGCCCAGATTCCAGATTTTGATTTCCGCGGTCAATATCTTACGAAAGCTCCTTTGTTAAACAAAAGTCATTTGTTAAAATGATCATCTCTACCTTGATTTTTCAAATCCAATACACTGTTTTAATGCAGAAAAATCCAATGCACTGCAAGCGCCGAGAAAAGCACTTAGGGAGCGTCAACAAATGTCCAGACCAGCTGTAAACGAACAATATCTTTTACTGAAGCCATGTACACTAAACTCTGACAATATAAATAATGACCATGTCTAACTGCTACAGACTTTGATTGCAACATTTGTGAGTTTTTTTTAATTTTTATGAATAAATATATATTTTTCTTTGTTTATTTGCTTTTACAGTAAATGGTCTTTACTGTAACATACATAAATAATGTATGTTACAGCATTTTTTTTTATATATTTCTTATGACTAATAAGAATGCATTAAGTCCTTAACCAGCCAAAGAGTTCCAGCTATTTATTAAATTTCATTTTTGACTAAAGATTTTTTTTATTTTTTATATGTAGTCAATAAATTACATTCTAAAAACTGATTATGAAATTCCATGATTACTGTGTAAATTGAAATTAGGACAAAAAAGTGCTCAACCCGATCCACCCAAATGGTGTCCCTTATTTTTCTGTTCTCAAGTTGGCAACCCTACTCATGGATTACACACCAAGTGTGCAAATCAAACCAGACAAACAGCCTAACCAAATGCTAAGTTGAAAAAGAGTGTTTTAAGCCTGGCCTTAAACGTAGAGACAGTGTCTGCTTCCTTAACGTGGGGGGGGAGCTGATTCCACAGTAAAGGAGCTTGTTAACTAAATGCTCTGCCACCGACAGTGCTTTTTGAAACCTTAGGGACCATCAGATGTCTGGCGTTTTGCGAGCGCAGCGCTCGGCTTGGTTGATATGACATTAACATGTCTTGCAGATAAGAGGGAGTCAAGCCATTTATGGCTTTGTATGCCAGAAGAAGAATTTCAAACTTTATTCTGTACTCCACAGAAGCCAGTGTGTGTCATCTGCATAGCAGTGGAAGTTAATTCCATGTTTTTTAATTATGTTTCCAAGTGGTGTCAAACTCATTTTCACCTGGGGCCACATCAGCATAATGGCTGTCCTCAAAGGGCCAGATGCAACTTATAAATGTAACCGAATGCAATGTATAATACATGTAACTACTCCTTAATGTTAAATAACTCTGATGTTATTTCCTATTCAAGTTACAAAAGTTAGTTGCTCTGTTGTAGCATCATTTTAATACCCACTACTCAACTAACTCAATCAGTCAAGAATCAAAACTATCCAAGTGAATAAAGAAAAGAACATCAAACACAAGTTATGGAATAAACTTTGTTCAAAACATATTTGCCAAAGTTAAAACTACAAACATGTATGACAGATGTAGCATTGCCTTGAACCATGGATCTATAAGCCTTGAACACACCAAGTGGTTTCTCTCTTTAATTACACAAAGTATACATATTATACATTATATATATATGTATGTGTATATACAGGCGCTAGAAAGGGCTGGAGACCCATGGTACAGATACACCACACCAGAGGAGACCCATGGTACAGATACACCACACCAGAGGAGACCCATGGTACAGATACACCACACCACAGGAGACCCATGGTACAGATGTACCACACCAGAGGAGACCCATGGTACAGATATACCAGATGCTGCAGGGAAGGCCTACATGGAACGCCATAACCAGGTGGCTGCACAGTGTACAGAAACATCTGTGCAGAGTATGGGCTGGAAACCCCAAGGTCTAAGAAACTCCTCCAAAGGTGGTGGAGAATGAGAAGATCCTGTGGGACTTCCAGATACAGACCGACCCAATGGTACTGAACCAACCTGACATCGTAGTGGTGGACAAAGGGCAGAGGCCGTGGTGGTAGACAAAGGGCAGAAGGCGTGGTGGTGGACAAAGGGCAGAAGCCGTGGTGGTGGACAAAGGGCAGAGGCCGTGGTGGTAGACAAAGGGCAGAAGGCGTGGTGGTGGACAGAGGGCAGAAGCCGTGGTGGTGGACAAAGGGCAGAGGCCGTGGTGGTAGACAAAGGGCAGAAGGCGTGGTGGTGGACAGAGGGCAGAAGCCGTGGTGGTGGACAAAGGGCAGAGGCCGTGGTGGTAGACAAAGGGCAGAAGGCGTGGTGGTGGACAGAGGGCAGAAGCCGTGAGGCCGTGGGGGTAACAAAGGGCAGAAGGCGTGGTGGTGGACAAAGGGCAGAAGCCGTGGTGGTGGACAAAGGGCAGAGGCCGTGGTGGTTTACAAAGGGCAGAGGCCGTGGTGGTGGACAAAGGGCAGAGGCCGTGGGGGTAGACAAAGGGCAGAAGGCGTGGTGGTGGACAGAGGGCAGAAGCCGTGGTGCTGGACAAAGGGCAGAGGACAGCCGTGGTGGTAGACAAAGGGCAGAGGACAGCCGTGGTGGTAGACAAAGGGCAGAGGACAGCCGTGGTAGTGGACAAAGGGCAGAGGACAGCCGTGGTGGTAGACAAAGGGCAGAGGACAGCCGTGGTAGTGGACAAAGGGCAGAGGACAGCCGTGGTGGTGGATGTGGCAATTCCAAGCGATGGTAACATCCGGAAAAAAGAACATGAAAAGCTTGAGAAACACCAAGGTCTCAGAGAGGAGCTGGAGAGGGCCTGGAGGGTAAAGGTGACAGTAGTGCCCGTGGTGATCGGTGCACTCGGAGCAGTGACCCTGAAGCTAGAAGAGAGGTTACAGCGGATCCCCGGAACAACCTCGGACATCTCGGTCCAGAAATGTGCAGTGCTAGGAACAGCAAAGATACTGAACCCTCAAGCTCCCAGGCCTCTGGTAGAGGACCCGAGCTTAGAGAGGGATAACCACCCGCGGATAGAGAGGGATAACCGCCCGCGGAGGGCCAAAGATGAGAATTAATTATTTTAATTTTTTTATAATATATATATTTATTATACGGCTCCTCAGAGCAGCAGTAGAATGCTCCATTGATTTGAATGTAATTTCAAAACGTTCTACCGGTCATTATTTTCTATAACGGACCTCTCAAAACAATAATGACCGCTGCCCATGGCAACGCACTCTCTGCTTGTATTTCAAATGCGTGGATAACTCCGCAAGTAGTTCCGGCCACTCCTGAGCTAGCCACGCTCAATCAACACACTTAAATGTTAATCGGAGAATACTTATACATATACATTCTTCACACACGTGCACAGAAATTTTCAGAATTTTCTGGTCTTGTCTTCATGACAAAAATACTATTTCTCTGCGTCAAAAAGCGATCGTGAAAAACCCGGAAGTAGTTCTGGCCGCTCAATAAACGCAAATGCCAATCAATCAACGCAATGAAATGTTTATCGGAGAGTGAATTATACATATCCAGTCTTAATACAAGTGCACGGAAGTTTTCAGAATTTTCCGTTTACGTTTTCATGACAAAAACACTGATGTAATGCGAGAAAAGGCGATCCCGAAAAACCCGGAAGTAGATACCGGCACATTTTAAGATACCGGCACATTTTCGGACACATTTGCAGAGGATCGATTTAGGTTAGGTTTATGTATGGGTCACTCACCGCTGATGTTCAGAATTCTTTGTTCAGTTTTCATGCAGTTCCAGAGAGTTCTAGTTTGGAAGTTGCCAGCCTAACTGTTGCTAGCATAGCCACACTGCCTGCCCGCGGTTACCGAGCAACGGGAAAACTTTTTGGGACAACTTTATTTGTTGTCATTAAATAAACTTTTGGCATTCATAAAAGTGATCTGAAGTTCAGGGCGGAAGCAGACCCCTCCGCTGCGCGTCGGGGTCCGCTTCGCCCTGTCGGTACTTATTTTCCGATAATGACCTGTATGCTATACATTATCCCTTACATATGTATGCATATTATATTATATATGTATTTATAATTACTACCTTTAAATGCTTACATGTGAGTTTTCCTGTTACCAGTGCGTTAATGTCTGGTTTTAGGTCCGGTGCTGAGGCAATCCTTAGAATGGCATGGGGTTGTCATCAGTGAGGCGTGATCTGTGCTTGTTTTTGTTCAGATTCATTATTGAGAACAGCTGTTCGCAGAAATAGGTCCTCCCAAACATTGACAAAACACGGGCAGCATGAAGTTGAAGCTGTGGCATCAGACCAGAGGGCAACAGATGGTAAAAGTCCTGAACAGCTGCATCCTGGAACTTTTCTCTCAGACCACTGTCCCTTTGAAGCTCAATTAACTCCATCTGGGGGTGTTGGGGTGCAGGGCAGACGTCGGTGGTGAAAGGACTGGCAAATATGGCAAATCCAGACTGCTGTGCCCTGAAGTCAGAGAAGCGCCGCTCAAAGTCAGTCTTTAAACAGCTCAGTTTGGTGGCCAACTGAGCACATGAAAAAGTCCCGGGAAATGAGGCCGACACGCTCTGACAGACAGGAAAGTGGGCAAGATTGTCCTGTTTCCCTTGGCACATCCATAGGTCCAGTTTACGCTGGAAAGCCGTGATCGTGTCGAACATCTGCGTGATAAGTTGTTTGCGTCCTGCAGCTTCTGATTCAGTTGAGCGAGATGCCCGGTTATGTCACACAACACAGCAAAGTCACACAACCACTTTGGATCTAACAGTTCAGACAAGGGTTTCCCTTTGCTCTGCATAAAAAGAGCAATCTCTTCCCTGAGTTCAAAAAATCGGAGGACTTCGCTCCTACTCAGCCACCGCACTTCTGTATGGTCCGGCACATTCTCGTGCTGCGAGTTCATCTCCCGCAGAAACAGCTGGAACTGACGGTGATTCAGGCAACGCGCCCGAATAAAGTTCACCGTTTTCATAACCGTGGTCACTACATTATTCATCCCCAGCACCTTCCCACACAAAGCTTCTTGGTGGATAATGCAATGGTATTGTAGCATATACGTTACAGAAAGCGAATTAGGACAAGTAGCTAGTTGTATAAGAAATGTACTTTAGTCTTATTATGCCAACTATAAAGATCGAATTAGATTTAGGCTAGTATCAGAAAAGAACTAGAGACGACTCTGGGAGAGAGGAGGCAGAAGCGATAAGTACCTTTGGTATGCACCATGTATTAATAAATGATATACAGTGAGCGACAATATGAACAGTGAGAAACAGTGAATGGCCATTCATTACGATGCAATACTCGAGCAATAACATTTACAGTACAGAAAATAAACAAAGTTCCAGTAGACTTAGAAGTTAAAGTACTCTTGGTACTCAAGTAACTCTTGTGTGCAACAGACGCGACTTTAAGGTCAGTAAAGTGCGAGTGCATCCAAGCCCAAAGTTTCAACACAGAAATCCCAGAGTTGGGATTCTCCAACACTGATTGCGATCGATGGATTTCGGAAGGAATGGGAAGTGTCCAAGGAGGAGTGTTGAGATATGATTCAGTTCAAAGGATCACAATAAAGTGCTGTGTGCAAGAGTTCGATTTAGGCTGTGGGAGCCTCCTACCAGCCAATGACAGAATGACAGAAAGGCAGTCGGCTCCTGCATGTTAAATGAATCAAAGTAAGTTTCATGACACTTAATGATGATTTTGATGGTTAAAAGCGTTACCGTACCCGCAGCACATCCAAAGCACGCTCTGCTCTTGCAAGTACTGAACACTTCCGGCATAGCAGCTATATTGAACACTGATACTCAAAGATAAAAACCAATGCAAGATAATACAGTTTGTCAATTTGACACCTGCGTTACAGTACGTTATCAGAGGCGTGTGACAGTTCATGTTTTGCCTTTTCCCTTCATTAGTCCAACCAAGCCCACTTTTCCTCCACACATTGCCGGTGCACCGTCTGTAGTTAATCTCACCAAGTTTTCCCAGGGCAATGAATTTTTTTGTATGTCCTGTCCCGTCGTGGTCCCATGCATTGCAGTTATATCCAACAGCTCCTCGGAAACAGAGAGATCCGACTTCACGCCTATAATAAAAATGGATAACTGTGCTTTAGTGTTATCGGTGCTTTCACAGCTAATGAAAACGCTGTGTAGCTGCGTGCCTCCTCCGCCCGCTGTGTTGCAAGGTTTTCTGATAGTTCCTTAACTCTGCCCACGATGGTATTTCTCGATAAACTGACTGATTTCTAAAAGTTTGCATCTGTTCAGGACACACCTGTTCACAGACCTTCAGCATGCACTGCTTCAAAAACACGCCCTCTGAAAAAGACTTGGAAGCGCAGGCGATTTCTTCAGCCACAATAAAGCTTGCTTTCACTGCCGCATGGTTCTTGTCTCTGGATTTCACAAACAGAGTCTGCTGCGACCGCAGTTTGCCTTTTAATTCATGGGCAATTTGTTACTTTTCTTGAAGGCTGGCTTTGACGTACTTTTTAGTCTCAAAATGTCGGCGTAGATTGTACTCTTTGACAACCGCGATTGCCTCATAACACACAAGACATACCGGTCTTTCTCCTGGAATCACAAACAAGTATTTACCTTCCCTTCTTTCTTTAAACAGTCTTCCATCCTCATCAACTTTTCATTTCCTGGACATCTTGGTATATTTTTTTAATTCACAATTCCACCCGTTGGCATTGATGTGGACACACTGTCGCATAGTGGCGGGAACCCGTCACTGTCTTAGCAGGTATCACAGTCGCCAGGCATTGTGGGAAATGTAGTTTTTGGTCGAAGCATATTTATGACCTATTTATTTATATATGCTCAGACCTTTTATGCTCTCGCGGGCCACATAAAATGACAAGGCGGGCCGCATTTGGCCCGCGGACCTTGGAATTGACACATATGATGTAGAGTGTGAAAAGAATAGGTCAGAGTACCGATCCTTGGGGCACACCGAATTCCACTCTAGACTAAGGTGACGAGTATTGATTTACGTTGACGAAGTGATACCGATCTGATAAATAGAGGAACAGCCCTTGGCTGGTTTAAATCCTAAGACCTATATCACATTCTAGCCTCTGCAGTAGAATTCTGTGGTCTATTGTGTCAAATGCAGCACTAAGGTCCAGTAGGACCAGCACTGACACTTGTCCATTATCAGCAACTAGTAGTAAGTCATTTGTGACTTTGACTAGTGCCGTTTCAGTCTATGATGAGCTCTGAATCCTGATTGAAAGACTTCAAACATATTATTTTCCTGCAGGTGGCAGCGAAGCTGCTCAGCTATAAGTTTTTCCAGGATTTTAGATATGAAAGTGAGGTTTGAGATTGGTCTGTAGTTTGTAAGTATTTCTGGGTCCAGGTTTGTTTTCTTCAGAAGGGGTTTGATTACCGCGGTTTTAAAAGCTTGTGGGACATATCTTTGAAGAGCCAAGTCGGGATTGCATCTAACATGCAAGTTGAGGCTTTTGAAGATGCAACTACAGAGATCACTTCCTCTTGGCTCACAGCGAATAACTTGTCGGGGCACACTGAAGAATCCAGGTGGGAAATCAGCTGCAACGCTGATTTGCTGTAACCTCCTCCAGTTTGTCACGGATGGATGTCATTTTATTATTAAAGAAGTGGAGAAAGTCGACACTGCTCAGTGAGCTTGGACTTTTCGGCTCGATTGCGCTATGGCAGTTTGTGAGTTTAGCGACGGTGCTAAACAAAAATCTACTGTTATTTTTATTGGCTTCTATTAAAGTTGAATAGTATTGAGTTCGAGCCCTGTGAAGGGCATTCTTGTAGTTTCGGAGACCTGCTTTCCACTCCCTGTGGACAGGCTCCGAGTGGGAGTGGCGATATAGCCTCTCCAATTTTCTGACGTCCTGTTTTAAAGTGTGGAGTTGAACACTGTACCAGGGCGACGATGATCTAATCCTAATAGTTTTCTGTTTTAAAGGAGCTGCTGCATTTAATGCAGATTTTAAAGACTCCATAGTGTTGTCCACCGTTTGGTCAATGACTGAGGGACTGCAGCAGCTGTGAACAGGTTCACCTGCAGCAGTATTCAACATAGGCTGTATTAGTTCTTTGAACCTTGTGATAGATTTATCATTTAAGGTTCTTTTCATTATGGTTTTATCTTGCGGCGCAGGAAAGTCCTCCAAATCGAGATCAAACGTGATCAAGAAATGGTCAGACAGCAACGAGCTTTGACGTTGGATGTCAACATTGGAGACATCACAGCCGTAGGTCAGGACAAGGTCCAAGGTGTGGTTATGAATGTGAGTAGGTTCCTCGACATTCTGAGTAAAACCAACACCATCTAGTACGGCGCTGAAAGCTTTGTTTAAGCTGTCAGTGCTGTCGTCCACATGTATACAGACTGTCGTCCACATGTATATAGACTGTCTTCCACATGTATATAGACTGTCACCCAGGACAGGTGATTAAGAGTGTTAAGTTTTCAAATGAACGAAAGGCATTGTTGGTTTTGGGACTGAGAAGTAAGTTGGTATGATAAAGCTCAGGTCTGTAACTTTAGTCTAAATAACACATGTTTAAAGCTCAGGTCTGTAACTTTAGTCTAAATAACATGTTAAAAGCTGATAATTAAAGCTTCGAGTTCAAACAGCAGATCCGAGCCGGCGCCTGATTGGTCGCTTCCTCCTGATCCTCTCACCTGCAGAAGCCGCTTTTAGTCCCGGATTAAAGGGTCAACGTCACAGTCGGCCACTAGAGGCACTATGTCCCCTCACAACACAGGGTCCTGCTTTAGTCCTGCTTTAGTCCTGCTTTAGTCCTGCTTTAGTCCTGCTTTAGTCCTGCTTTAGTCCTGCTTTAGTCCTGCCTGGCCTTACCATCCGTACACTCCGCTCAATCATCATGTCCTGCATGTAACGTCTGGGTCTGGTCCCTGTGTTAGCGATAACAATCGGTTGAATTTCGACCGACCAATCAGAGAGCGCGGGAGGCGGGTGTTGTAGTTAGTTGTGGGTGATGTCAAGAGTTTGCGTCGAACGGGGAGGTTGTAGTTTGGCCATCGCAAAAAATGCGATAGTAAAGTAAAGAGGAATATTTAGCAAATGTAATTGATGGAAAAAAATTGTGGCGCTAATCCCCACGGGCTCTGTTGGTGGCAAAGGAGATGGCTAAAGATAGGCTAAATGCTAACAACAGACTCGGGCTCATTACATACGTCACGGTAAACTCTGATCCAATGGTTTCCATCTGCAAAAGGAGTTAGCCCCTCCCACCTGTTAACGGAGTCAATGGAGCAGATCCAGACCTTAGTATGAAATGTAATTTCATACTAAAGCAGGACCACACCATAATTCTATGGTGTGGTCCTGCTTTAGTCCCCCGACCCCAGCTTTAAAGTCACAGACCCCAGCTTTAAAGTCAGAGACCCCAGCTTTAAAGTCACAGACCCCAGCTTTAAAGTCACAGACCCCAGCTTTAAAGTCACAGACCCCAGCTTTAAAGTCAGAGACCCCAGCTTTAAAGTCACAGACCCCAGCTTTAAAGTCACAGACCTCAGCTTTAAAGTTGGCAGTAGGATAATGAGTTGGATTTAGCTCCGTTACTACAGGCTCCTCCCACAGCCTCGTTAAGACTGGGATTAACACTAAAAATACTCTGAGGCGATTAAACTGACAGACCAGAGAGACACCAGAGAGAGACCAGTGAGACACTAGCCTGGTCGTACCACACCATAGTACAAATTACATTTCATACTAAGGTCTGGATTTGCTCCATTGACTCCGTTAACAGGTGGGAGGGGCTAACTCCTTTGCAGATTTAAACCATTGGATCTGAGTTTACTGTGATGTATGTAGTGCGCCCGAGTCTGTTAGCATTTAGCCTAGCTTTAGCCATCTTCTTTGCCGCTAACGAAGCCCGTGGGGAGTAAAGTCAATGTTTTCCAGCGATTACATTTGCTATTCCTCTTGCTCCTGCTTCAATTTCTTGATAGAACCAGACCAGAATACTTTACTATCGCATTTGTCGCCATTGCCAAACTACGACCTTCCCGTTCAACGCAAACCCACAACTAACTACAACACCCGCCTCCCACGCTCTGATTGGTCGGTCAAAATTTAAGCGATTGTAATCGCTAACATGGGGACTGGACCCAAATGTTACATGCAGGACATGATGATTGAGCACGGAGTGTACGGAATGGTAAGGCCAGGCTAGAGAGAGACCAGAGAGAGAGACCAGAGAGACCCTAGAGAGACCAGAGACCAGAGAGAGCCTAGAGACCAGAGAGAAACCAGAGAGAGAGACCAGAGAGAGCCTAGAGACCAGAGAGAGAGCAGAGAGAGAGCAGAGAGAGACCAGAGAGAGAGACCAGAGAGAGACCAGAGAGAGAGACCAGAGAGAGCCTAGAGAGAGACCAGAGAGAGAGACCAGAGAGAGCCTAGAGACCAGAGAGAAACCAGAGAGAGAGACCAGAGACCAGAGAGAGCCTAGAGAGAGCCTAGAGAGAGACCAGAGAGAGCCTAGAGACCAGAGAGAAACCAGAGAGAGAGACCAGAGACCAGAGAGACTAGAGAGAGACCAGAGAGAGACCAGAGAGAGCCTAGAGACCAGAGAGAAACCAGAGAGAGAGACCAGAGACCAGAGAGAGCCTAGAGAGAGCCTAGAGAGAGACCAGAGAGAGCCTAGAGACCAGAGAGAAACCAGAGAGAGAGACCAGAGACCAGAGAGAGCCTAGAGAGAGACCAGAGAGACCAGAGAGAGACCAGAGAGAGACCAGAGCGAGCCTAGAGAGACCAGAGAGAGAGACCAGAGAGAGAGCCTAGAGACCAGAGAGAAACCAGAGAGAGAGACCAGAGAGAGAGACCAGAGAGAGCCTAGAGACCAGAGAGAGAGCAGAGAGAGAGCAGAAAGAGAGACCAGAGAGAGAGAGCAGAGAGAGACCAGAGAGAGACCAGAGAGAGCCTAGAGAGAGACCAGAGAAAGACCAGAGAGAGCCTAGAGACCAGAGAGAGCCTAGAGACCAGAGAGAGCCTAGAGACCAGAGAGAGCCTAGAGACCAGAGAGAGAGACCAGAGAGAGACCAGAGAGAGCTTAGAGACCAGAGAGAGCCTAGAGACCAGAGAGAGAGCCTAGAGAGAGCCTAGAGACCAGAGAGAGCCTAGAGACCAGAGAGAGCCTAAAGACCAGAGAGAGCCTAGAGACCAGAGAGAGACCAGAGAGAGAGACCAGAGAGAGCCTAGAGACCAGAGAGAGACCAGAGAGAGACCAGAGAGCGACCAGAGAGCGACCAGAGAGAGAGAGCAGAGAGAGACCAGAGAGAGACCAGAGACCAGAGAGAAACCAGAGACCAGAGAGACCAGAGAGAGCCTAGAGAGCAGAGAGAGAGCAGAGAGAGAGCCGAGAGACCAGAGAGAGAGACCAGAGTGAGACCTGAGAGAGACCAGAGAGAGAGACCAGAGAGAATGAGGGTTATAGTAGGATAAAGATTATGTTTAAATCATGAGTCCAGGTCACTGAGGAATGAGCTTCTAAACAGAAGGTTTAATCTTCAGAAATAAACAACATTAAACTAAAAAAGAACATCTTCAAGTGTGTTCTGTTCATACCATGGACTACACAGATGGACCATGCTAGCCCGCTAGCCCCATGCTAGCCCAATGAAGTCCAATAGAGAAGTGCTCATGGTGAAGTTTGGCTCCTCTTGACTTCAAAATAAAAGTCTTTGTAAATTCAGATATGACCATATAAGGACTGACCAATGGAGCCTGTGGTGATGTCACACTGTGGTGATGTCACACTAGCTCTTAAATACAGTCTATGGTTGTACAGGGTCCTAGTGCCTGTGTCTCTCTGCTCAGGTCCGTGGTTTTGTGGCGAACGTGAGGAATCCAGTGTGTCCTGGGATCTCTCTGGGGGCGGTGGTGGTCCTGATGCTGACACTGGTCTGGCTCTGCTCTCTGGCCTGGTCCCGGTCTCTGGCCTGGTACTGGTCCTGGTCCAGACTCGGTGCGAGCCCAAAGTCGGGTAGTCCCAGTGCCAGAGTGCGGACGTCATGCACCTGGAGTAGGACCTCGAGGCTGCAGATCTCTGTGAAGCCACGGTCTGTGAGGGCGGCACACGTCCTCTGCACCTGCTCGATGCACGGGGAGAACGAGCAAATCCTGCCTCCTGTGAAGAGAGGGGGGAGAAGGAGGGGAGGGGAGGGAGGGAGAGAGGTGAGGTTAGAAGGACAGCAGAACACAGCAGTCCTCGGTCAGTATTCTCCATGAACAGCAAAGGGCCCAGAACACAGCCCTGTGGGACACATCAGGACTTTCTGCCACAAACTCAGCCCCTGCCCCATCTGTCCAAATCTCTGTTATCACGCATGTGTTATTCAGACTAAAGTTACAGACCTGAGCTTTAAACATGTGTTATTCAGACTAAAGTTACAGACCTGAGCTTTAAACATGTGTTATTCAGACTAAAGTTACAGACCCGAGCTTTAAACATGTGTTATTCAGACTAAAGTTACAGACCTGAGCTTTAAACATGTGTTATTTAGACTAAAGTTACAGACCTGAGCTTTAAACATGTGTTATTCAGACTAAAGTTACAGACCTGAGCTTTAAACATGTGTTATTCAGACTAAAGTTACAGACCTGAGCTTTAAACATGTGTTATTCAGACTAAAGTTACAGACCTGAGCTTTAAACATGTGTTATTCAGACTAAAGTTACAGACCTGAGCTTTAAACATGTGTTATTTAGACTAAAGTTACAGACCTGAGCTTTAAACATGTGTTATTCAGACTAAAGTTACAGACCTGAGCTTTAAACATGTGTTATTCAGACTAAAGTTACAGACCTGAGCTTTAAACATTTGTTATTTAGACTAAAGTTACAGACCTGAGCTTTAAGAGCAGAGAGGAGGACTTTTAGCGACTTAAAAGTTCCCTAAGAGGACAAAATGGTGGACGGTAGAGGCAGGAGAAATATTCTATACAGTATCTTGCAAAAGTATTCGCCCCCCTTTAACCTTTCAACATTTTGCCACATTTCAGGCTTCAAACATAAAGATATAAAAATTTAACTTTTTGTCAAGAATCAACAACAAGTGGGACACAATCGTGAAGTGGAACAAAATTTATTGGATAATTTAAACTTTTTTAACAAATAAAAAACTGAAAAGTGGGGCGTGCAATATTATTCGGCCCCCTTGCGCTAATACTTTGTAGCGCCACCTTTTGCTGCAATTACAGCTGCAAGTCGCTTGGGGTATGTCTCTATCAGTTTTGCACATCGAGAGACTGGAATTCTTGCCCATTCTTCCTTGCAAAACAGCTGGAGCTCTGAGGTTGGATGGAGAGCGTTTGTGAACAGCAGTCTTCAGCTCTTTCCACAGATTCTCGATTGGATTCAGGTCTGGACTTTGACTTGGCCATTCTAACACCTGGATACGTCTATTTGTGAACCATTCCATTGTAGATTTGGCTTTATGTTTTGGATCATTGTCCGGTTGGAAGATAAATCTCCGTCCCAGTCTCAGGTCTTTTGCAGACTCCAACAGGTTTTCTTCCAGAATGGTCCTGTATTTGGCTCCATCCATCTTCCCATCAATTTTAGCCATCTTCCCTGTCCCTGCTGAAGAAAAGCAGGCCCAAAGCATGATGCTGCCACCACCATGTTTGACAGTGGGGATGGTGTGTTCAGGGTGATGAGCTGTGTTGCTTTTACGCCAAACATATCGTTTTGCATTGTGGCCAAAAAGTTCGATTTTGGTTTCATCTGACCAGAGCACCTTCTTCCACATGTTTGGTGTGTCTCCCAGGTGGCTTCTGGCAAACTTTAAACAAGACTTTTTATGGATATCTTTGAGAAATGGCTTTCTTCTTGCCACTCTTCCATAAAGGCCAGATTTGTGCAGTGCACGACTGCTTGTTGTCCTATGGACAGACTCTCCCACCTCAGCTGTAGTTATCTGCAGTTCATCCAGAGTGATCATGGGCCTCTTGGCTGCATCTCTGATCAGTCTTCTCCTTGTTTGAGATGAAAGTTTGGAGGGACAGCCGGGTCTTGGTAGATTTGCAGTGGTCTGATACTCCTTCCATTTCAATATAATTGCTTGCACAGTGCTCCTTGAGATGTTTAAAGCTTGGGAAATCTTTTTGTATCCAAATCCGGCTTTAAACTTCTCCACAACAGTATCTTGGACCTGCCTGGTGTGTTCCTTTGTCTTCATGGTTCTCTCTGCGCTTTAAACAGAACCCTGAGACTATCAAAGAGCAGGTGCATTTATACGGAGACTTGATTACACACAGGTGCATTCTATTTATCATCATCAGTCATTTAGGACAACATTGGATCATTCAAAGATCCTCACTGAACTTCTGGACTGAGTTTGCTGCACTGAAAGTAAAGGGGCCGAATAATATTGCACACCCCACTCTTCAGTTTTTTATTTGTTAAAAAAGTTTAAATTATCCAATAAATTTTGTTCCACTTCACGATTGTGTCCCACTTGTTGTTGATTCATAAGAAAAAATATTTTTTTTATATCTTTATGTTTGAAGCCTGAAATGTGGCGAAATGTTGAAAGGTTCAAAATACTTTTGCAAGGCACTGTACACTGGATGACAGTGAATCAGTGAAACGCTGCAGATTGGATCCTGCAGGAATCATGTTTAAAAGTCATCATGTACAAATATACAGTTTTGTTTTATTAACAGCAATCCAGTTCAAAAAGGAGTGTGAAGAAGTTAATACTTTTAAACTCCCACCCTCTATTTATCATTCTAAATTAACTTAAATAGTGTGGTTGCGACATCTTAGTTTATTCCATGGTGTATTTACAGTCATGCAACAGTGACATTCACAATAGAGCCCTGCACTTGAGCCCTTGGCCCGAGGGCCCCGACGGCCCGACAGCCCGAGGGCCGGGCTTCGGGCCGATGACCGCATAATGACCTCGGACACGGGCCGGGCTCGGGCTCTTCATTTTCAGAGCGGCAGAATAGATTTACGAGCGCACCCACTGAATATAGCGTTCTATCACGCTGTAGTGTTTGTTGTTCTGTGTAGTGTTGTCATTGACGGCACATAGCATTACTTATGTAATGTGCAGATGTGTTGCAGCATCGGGGGCATCATACAGATGCGGCCGTTCACTCTGCACCACTCCGCACACACAGAACTCATTGCAACACATCACTACCATGTATAACTCCGCCCTCTAGCCAAGTCTGCGTTCATATCAGTGCGCGGCACTATATACTACGCTAAAACATTGTTATGGGAGGTTACAAAAAAAAAAAAAAGGCGGGCTTGATGCGGGTTTCGGGCCTGAAAATTCAGAAACCATATCGGGCCGGGCCGGGCTGGGGCGCCACCCCCTTGGGCCAGGGCCGGGCTCGGGCCCAGATAATAGGCCCGTGCAGGGCTCTAATTCACAATAACATGCACTTGATTTGTGTTTGTATAAAATGCTTCTATTCATATTTTTTCCTTAATTCCTTTTACGTCTTTCAGTTTCACAGCCTTTGCTAATCCTAATGTTATCATAATCATATATATAAGTGCTCATGTTATATACGTGTGTTATATACGTGTGATAAATACGTGTGATAAATACGTGTGATAAATTGGTGCTGAGCAAGCTCTGATGATGTGGTGTAAAAGTCAAACTTACAACAGTAAGTTAGACATTAATAATAATAATAATAATAATGCATCGGTTTTATATAGCGCTTTTTTGGACAATCAAAGACGCTTCACATGTGTCATTATTCATTCACTCCAAACACGGTGGTGATAAACTACTAATGTAGCCACAGCTGCCCTGGGGCACACTGACAGAAGCGAGGCAACCAGTCTGTGCCATCAGCCCCTCTGACCACCACCAACCATTCACACACACACCAGACTCATTCTAGGCAATGGGGGTGAAGTGTCTTGCCTAAGGACACAACGGCAGTTTGGCACTTTACAGCCGCAGCCGCCCCACTGTGGCTGGTGTTCCCAGAGGTTAAGTGTCTTGCCAAGGACACAACGACAGTAGTCAGTGGGAGTTGATGGTGAAAGTCTTGAGCGGGGCTTGAACCCACGACCTTCTGGCTCAAAGGCCAACGCTCTACCAACTGAGCTACTGCCGCCCTTAGTATTAGTATATACATCTGACTTTCTACCTTTTCTGATTATTTACAATGACACAGTATTCCTAAAATTAGATTCTATGATTGAGTTTGTCCATTAGAGGATCCTTATTTTGCCCATTATCAAAAATATGGTTTCTCTAACTTTTAGGATCAACCAATCACAGCGTCTGAAATGATGAGTCATACCTAGCATCGGGGTCGGCCACGCCTCCTCACTAAAGCCTAGTTTATACTCGCGCGGCGCGGAGCTTACGAAGGTGACGTGACGTCACTTGCGCAACGCGTTGGTCACCGCAAGGCCCTTACGTCGCCTGCCGCGCAGCATCGAAATTTTCTAACTACGTAAGGGTCGCTGCAAGGAATCTCCGCTGTGATTGGTCAGTGTGTGTGTATTGGAAGGAAGCACGGAGCGGGTGCAGCAGGGACAATGGACGAGGCACTATGGAGCAGAGAGCTTTGTGCTTCGAAGGAAAAGCAGTTTGGGCTCAGAGCCTGATATACAGGAGACTGTGGACTATCTAACATATATATAACATATATCTAACTTATATCTAACATATATATAACTTATAAACTGTGCAGTTGTTTGTTTTGCACTGTTCCTGTCTTGTTTGAATCGTAGCTGCGTTTGTTGCTTTCCTCCTGCACTCGTAGATCGTTCATGTTTGTCTCAGATATTTACCACTATTATTGTTTTGCTGTTTGTGCTGAAAACTATTTAATAATAACTATGTTTCCAACAAGAACTGTGTCTTTATTTACAGCATCACAGTTGAAATGACTTATAAAATAATGAATCCATAAAACTATCACATAAACCTACAGTAGAAACACGTGTAATGAGCTCAAACAGCTTTGTTTGTTATTGTTGTTCTGAAGAGGACAAAGTAGCAGCGTAAATGGGACCGCTCCTGTGTGATCGCCCTCATGTGGTTTGTTGTGGGATTACAACATTCTCCTCAAAACTCCGTAAGGGGAACGCGCCAGTATAACATCAATTGTGCTTACGTAGGTCCACCGCAACCGCTAACGTAAGCCACGCCGCGCAAGTATACACTAGGCTTAAGATAAGAGTTGTTGTCAATTCCTTGCTCATTGCTCAGAGTTCTCTAAGAGTGTTCTGGAAAAACTTTTAAGCTAAGACTCCTATAGCTAGGAGTTTTTAGGTTAAGATAGGAGCTCTCTGAGAGGACTCTTAGAATCTTTAGGAATACGGCCCCTGAGCTTTAAACATGTGTTATTCAGACTAAAGTTACAGACTTGAGCTTTAAACATGTGTTATTCAGACTAAAGTTACAGACCTGAGCTTTAAAGGTTCTGTTCCTTTAGTCTGATGTAAACAGGGCGCGTCCAAATACTTTACACAAGTCACAAAGTTCACTGTGGAGTCATGAGAGTTAGCTGTCAGAGGGAGGAGCAGGAGGAGGGGGGAGGGGAGGAGGGTGAGGGAAGGAGGGAGGACAAGGAGGAGGATGAGGAGGATGACAAGGAGGGGGGGAGGGTGAGGAGGGGGGAGGAGGGGGAGGTAAGGAGGAGGAAGAGTCCATTTGCAGCTCAGATAAACACAGGAGAATGTCCATATGAGGAGAGCTTCAGGACCAGAGCTGAGAAAACACTGATCCTACTGCAGCTCAGACCAGGAAGGACCAGGAAGGACGAGGAAGGACCTGGAAGGACCTGGAAGGACCTGGAAGGACCTGGAAGGACCTGGAAGGACCTGGAAGGACCTGGAAGGACCTGGACTCAGGTCTCTGTCCTGAAGTCCTCTCACATTAGTCCTGGTCTCAGGTCTCTGTCCTGAAGTCCTCTCACATTAGTCCTGGTCTCAGGTCTCTGTCCTGAAGTCCTCTCACATTAGTCCTGGTCTCAGGTCTCTGTCCTGAAGTCCTCTCACATTAGTCCTGGTCTCAGGTCTCTGTCCTGAAGTCCTCTCACATTAGTCCTGGTCTATGGACTCGTACCAAAGTTAATCAGTGACATGTTATGAACCAACTCTGAGGAGCACAGGGACTGGCCTCCAGCTGGTCCCACAGAGACACACACACACACACACCTTTAACCCTCAGTACAGTGAGTGCTTCTGCTTCAGGCACCATAAAAGGATCTCTTTACAAACAACACAAGAGACCAGTGTGTGATGGTCAGCTGACCTGGACCAGAGAGAGAGACCAGAGAGAGAGACCAGAGAGAGAGAGACCAGAGAGAGAGAGACCAGAGAGAGAGAGACCAGAGAGAAAGAGACCAGAGAGAAAGCAGAGAGAGAAAGCAGAGAGAGACCAGAGAGAGAGACCAGAGAGAAAGCAGAGAGAGAAAGCAGAGAGAGACCAGAGAGAGAGACCAGAGAGAGACCAGAGAGCGAGAGACCAGAGAGACACCAGAGAGAGAGACCAGAGAGAAAGCAGAGAGAGACCAGAGAGAGACCAGAGAGAGAGAGACCAGAGAATGAGCTGGAAGCAGAGCTCTAAGATAAGACAACAGCAGAGGACGTCCTACAGATTGTTTCCAGACAAAACAATGTTATCATTAACTCAGTCATCAGTGTTCCTCACTCCCCCCCTCCCCCCCTCTCCTCCGTCACCTCCCTCCCCACCTCCCCCTCTCTACCCGCCTCTCCTCAGTGTCACTCATTAACTTGGTCTTCAGTTCGGCCTCAGTCGAGGGTCACAAGGTCTTGTCTGCATCTCTGTTTCCAGGATCACCTCACAGGTCTGAACAGGCCTGGTCTCGGTCTCTCTCTCTCTCTCTTGTCTCCCTCTGGTCCTCCCGTCTTCCTGTACAGCCGACACGGGTCCAAACAGCACAGGTGTGCAGTAGCAGTACCTGTCCTCTTGAGGGCGCTGTAGCCGTGTCCCACTGCGTCCCAGGGCGATGGTATGTCCAGGAACACGGCGTCTGCCACGTCAGTAACGCCAAAGCCGAGGAGACACACGTCCTGGTTCCTCACAGTGACCATGTGACCCACACGGTGCTCCCGGAACTCCTCCTCCACAATGTGCGCCCTCTGCTGGTGGAACTCCACAGTGTGCAGGTGACCAGAAGGGGCGATGGAGCGCAGGATGGCGTGGGACAGAGAGCCGCTGCCGGTGCCTGAGGAAGAAGAGCAGTGGTCATGTGACATCACACTCCAGAGAGTTTCACACTGTGGAAACAGGTCATTATAGTGACTATGGTAACCATAGTGATCATTATAGTAACTATGGTGACCATAGTGATCATTATAGTAACTATGGTGACCATAGTGATCATTATAGTGACTATGGTGACCATAGTGATCATTATAGTGACTATGGTGACCATAGTGATCATTATAGTGACTATGGTAACCATAGTGATCATTATAGTGACTATGGTAACCATAGTGATCATTATAGTGACTATGGTGACCATAGTGATCATTATAGTGACTATGGTGACCATAGTGATCATTATAGTGACTATGGTAACCATAGTGATCATTATAGTGACTATGGTAACCATAGTGATCATTATAGTAACTATGGTGACCATAGTGATCATCACCAGAGAGAGAGAGAGAGAGAGAGAGAGAGGGACCAGAGAGAGACCAGAGAGAGGGACCAGACAGAGAGAGAGTGGTCCCTCTCTCTCTGTCTGGTCCCTGAGAGAGAGAGGGACCAGAGAGAGAGAGAGAGGGACCAGAGAGAGAGAGAGAGAGAGAGGGACCAGAGAGAGAGACCGTTGGTAGCCTTGGTGACTCTGCTGTTTACTGTGTAACATGAGGCTCTGACTCAGGTCTGAGTGACTTGTGCTGTTTCCCTGTTTGTATTTTCGCAGGTGGATCAGAGCGACCAGGGTGACCTTCCTCCTCCCCTCCCCCTCCCCCTCCCCCTTCCTCACCCTCCCTCACCCACCAGCAATCCTCTTAGCTGCAGCTCCAGGCACCATGAGAGTCGAGGGACCAGAGAGCGGGTTAACAAGCATTATCTCAGCCTCCAACTTCTACTGTGCCTCCTCCTGCTGGTGCCTCCTCCAGCACCAGGACCAGGACCAGGGCCGAGACCAAGACCAGGACCAGGGCCGAGACCAGGACCAGGGCCGAGACCAAGACCAGGACCAGGGCTGAGACCAAGACCAGGACCAGGACCAGGGCCAAGACCAGGACCAGGACTAGTGAAACGATTGACAGAAACATCTGTGTTAGAGCCAGAAGGAGAGACATGGGTTACAGACCTCAGCTTTAAAGTTGAATAATGTGAAAGGATCCATGTTGTCTCTCCTCACAATAACTGGGAATTCACACAGTAGGAGTTCACTGCTGCTGCATGTACACTGGCTGAGCACAGGTACACTGCTGTGTGCACACTGGCTGAGCACAGGTACACTGCTGTGTGCACACTGGCTGAGTACACTGCTGTGTAGAGCAACACAACTCACGTGTCTGTGTGTCCTCATGGTCTCTGTGAGGAACCATAGTCTCATGATCGTACGGTTGAGGAAAGAAGAAGTCATGACTCAGCATTCACTGTCTGCATATACTGCATCTGTCTCTCTGGTCTGTCTCTCCTCAGTCCTCCCTCTCTCTCTAGGATAGTGACGTGTGCAGAGGCCCAACATGATGCAGCACTGCACCACTCTCCTCCCCTCCCCCCTTGCTGCACTGCCCCATCTGAGAACAGGCTGCGGCCCACACTGGCCATTATTTCACTTCTTTACAAACACAAAGAAGAGATGGGCTGGATCTCTCTCTCTCTCTCTCTCCCAATCACAGCGCAGACACTAAAGTGGCAGAGAAGATAATCCTCAAACACACGTGTACAGGGAACATCCCTGTGCTCTTACATGCGTGTGCAGGTCCTGTCTCAGATCTGTTCCCTGTGCTCTTACATGCGTGTGCAGGTCCTGTCTCAGATCTGTTCCCTGTGTTCCTACTTGCGTGTGCATGAACTGTCTCACTCAGATCTGTTCCCTGTGATCTTACATGCGTGTGCATGTCCTGTCTCAGATCTGTTCCCTGTGCTCTTACATGCGTGTGCATGTCCTGTCTCACTCAGATCTGTTTCTGGTTTCCCTCGTTACAGAGGCCACGTTGAAGAGCCACATGGTCCAGAGCCTCGTGTTTGTCTGTTTACAGTTAAGACACAAAGCTACTGATGTATGTTCTGTGTACTCCTGAGTCTCTCACTACTGTCCTGTCTGTGCGCTGCAACATTGACATTTCCCCATGGTGGGACCAATAAAGGATCTATAATCACTAGATAATTGTATTAGATGAATGTTGAACTTTTTTCAGGGTAATTAGTTGTAAGAGAAAGAGAGAGGGAGTAAGAGATAGAGAGAGAGAGAGAGAGAGACAGAGAGAGAGACAGTGTCCTCTGACCGGACTCGCAGACCACAGCTCCAGGCTTCAGCTCTAACATCATAGAGATCATAGAGATGTCGGTGCTGTAGAGGATCTGAGTGCGGTGAGGAAGAGTCAGGGTCCACAGCTCTGGGGTTGGGTGGAGGACATACACCCAGCCTCTGCTGCAGCTCACCTGGGACAGAGAGACACAGGGAGAGTGAGACACATACACAGAGAGACTGAGACACACAGAGAGAGTGAGACATACACAGAGAGACACAGGAAGAGTGAGACACATACACAGAGAGACACAGAGAGAGTGAGACACACAGAGAGAGTGAGACATACACAGAGAGACACAGAGAGAGTGAGACACACAGAGAGAGTGAGACATACACAGAGAGACACAGGGAGAGTGAGACACATACACAGAGAGACACAGAGAGAGTGAGACACACAGGGAGAGTGAGACACATACACAGAGAGAGTGAGACACACAGGGAGAGTGAGACACATACACAGAGAGACACAGAGAGAGTGAGACATACACAGAGAGAGATAGACTAAGAGACACACAGAGAGAGTGAGACACACACAAAACAAATTAAGCTTCACTACGATATAAATACAGCCTGCTTATGTCTGGGGTACAGGGTCCTGGGTCTGACCTTGGAGCCATATTTGTGTCCGATCAGGTCCTGTGAGTGCCTGAGCACTCCGTAGCGGGTCTGGGTCTGGGCTCCAGCCTGAACCTTTAGAGGCATCATGGAGTCATGGCTCAGGTAGATGATGGCCACGTCTCCATCAGAGACCAGCTCCGAGTACTCTGCAAAACTCATGCTTCAGTCACACACAAACACACAACAAAACAAAACACACACAGTTAAGGATTGCAAAAATAATTAATTGTGGCCTCAATATCCTAGCACTATAGAATCACATTTTTGCCAATTCTTACTTTTGGTGAATAGGTCTTTATTTTAATATAATTATTAATATTATTGTTATTAATTTTGTTCACATTCGGCTGTTGGTGATTCAGCTCGAGACCTCGTTACCATGGAGACACGTCCATCTCGTGAAGCGCAGGAGCCAGATCTTCGCGACATCTCCGCAACTTCTCACATCTTTATCACCAGTTTATCACCAGCATTTAACTTTATTTTACAGGTTTCACTCGGGGAAACATGAGTGACGAAGTGGACACTGTGTAAGTACAAAAGTGTTTTTTAATGTCTTTTGAGGCAGTTACATAAGTTTCCCCGCACGTACCACGGGAGACGGTTTTAAATACAACTGGCTGAGGGTTAGAAACCAGTGTAAGAGTGACAGTAATGAGAGTATATCTATTGAGAATGAGGAGTCACGTGCCGAGTTGGGGTGATTTGGGGGGGGCTCTGAGCCTGTCGGACATATTGGCTGCGCAACGGGGGCACGCCCCCAGAATTTCACGCGCTCCTCATATTCCAGAGCACTTTAAATTATACGCATTTACGTTTTCGGCGAGACAGAGACGGATCTACTGATACAACAAGGGAAAGGAAGACAGTAAAACAATGCTTAGAGATAAGGCGAAAGAGAAGGGACCGTACAGGAACACGTTGTTTTGCAGTGTTTTGTGTCCCTTTGCACTAAGAAAAGTATGACTCTTATGATCATTTTTGCCTATGCTGTGCATGTTTACATGCTGGAAACAGTACTTTGAATGCACACGTTGTTTAGCAGTGTTTTGTGTCCCTTTGCACTAAGAAAAGTATGACTCTTATTATCATTTTTACCTATGTTGGGCATGTTTACATGCTGGAAACAGTACTTTGACTGCACACGTTTGTAACAAAAAAAATATTCATTTCTCAATAAATATTGGTAAACCATATCAAGTTGTTTCATGCATTTATTTAAAAATAAAAGATACAGTAAAGAATAAGGTACTCAAACAACACTTTTGCACATGTTCGTTAAGGCACAGCAAACAATGACAATCTTATCCAAAGGCATTAGGTTTTCACCCTCACATTTGACAAGCATGTGCACAGGTACAGTTGAGTGTAAGAATTTGAATTTGTTGCGCACAACACCGATCACCCTCTCCACGTGAATTCTGAGATGTGCTATGGCCCTAGTCTCCTCCACATCTTTCGCCTCAAGCTGAGCACGACCCCTGGTGAATGTAGGTATTTTCACTTCAGCACACATCATGCCCACATTTTCTCTTATATTAAAGCCTCTATCTGCCAGCACAATGTCACCTGGTAACAGCTTGTTCAGGAAACCACTTTGCTCGGTTATATGCTTGTCGCTTGTGCGCCCACCCCACCCGTTCGATATGAAGGAAATAATACCCTGGGGCGTGATCACGATTAGGTATTTCATAGTGTATGCGTGTTTGTATTGAGAAAAAGTCTGTGCCCTTGCTAGTACATTGGAAGGTTTCTCGATGAACACCTCGAAGCAGTCCACAATGGCAGCCACATTGTTCCCAAATGACTCCACAAACTGGTGTGGCATACTGGTCAATAAGCATTCCCTACTTGGCCAGTGCACCAATGGACACAGCTGTGCGTACATCACACCAAGGGTATGGTGAAAGGCATCGGCGACTGTTGTCCTATGTACTCTAAACAGATGGCTGAGGTGCTGTATTGGAAGGTCCAGTCTGAGGCGCATTAAAGTCAATAGGACAAGCTGGAAGGGTGAGAGCTTCTTCATTCTACCTTGAGGCAGATCTGGAGTTAGGTAGAGTAGAAGTGTCTGGAACAATGCAAAGTTTGGAAGCCCCGTGTAATACTTCACTGTGTTATCATCACCACTCAGAAAGTTTTCATTCATCCGGTACGTATCAAGCTCACGCTTCAGCTGTCTGTTTTCTTCAAGAAGATTGTTGATAACATCTCGTCTAGATGTGCAGAGTCCACATTCCATGTCCGGGTCAGCTGGCGGCTGGTCTAGGGCTGGCGGCGGCGGCGCCTGCGGCTGGTCTAGGGCTGGCGGCGGCGGCGCCTGCGGCTGGTCTAGGGCTGGTGGCGGCGGCGCCTGCGGCTGGTCTAGGGCTGGTGGCGGCGGCGCCTGCGGCTGGTCTAGGGCTGGTGGCGGCGGCGCCTGCGGCTGGTCTAGGGCTGGTGGCGGCGGCGCCTGCGGCTGGTCTAGGGCTGGTGGCGGCGGCGCCTGCGGCTGGTCTAGGGCTGGTGGCGGCGGCGCCTGCGGCTGGTCTAGGGCTGGTGGCGGGTGCAGCTGGTCTAGGGCTGGTGGCGGCTGCAGCTGGTCTAGGGCTGGAGGCGGCGGCGCCTGCGGCTGGTGTTGGGCTGGAGGTGGCTGCCGCTCCAGTGGCAGGGACCTGCGCCTTACTTGCCGCTGATATCTCGCTTCATCTGTTTTTTGTACATCATTGTGGCCTAACAACAGGGATGGTGTCCAGTCAGGGTGGTTCTCCAACATCTCATATGCTGGTTTACCTACACGAGAATAATAACAACATATAATTAATATAATAATTTGCACAATCTATGTAATCAATGCTTTAAACTGGCAACTATGTCATGAACAGCATCTCAAGTACTTTTTAGGTCACCTCATAATGTCATATGAAGGTTTATGTACAACAGAATAATTAGATTATGTGTACAATCTATGTAATCTATGCTTTACACTGGCAAAGACCTCGCAGAACACGTGCTAAGTAAGAAACAGCCTGAGAGGGTAACAAAGACACAGAGACAAAGGCACTACAGAAACCATAATAACATGCTAACCTACACTTCCTAGCTTTAAGAGACAACTACATAAATACATTTTTAGAGAACGTACCAGAGTGAAAATGCAGAGAACACACTCTCGTCGACAGGGGTGTGTGATCGAAAGTAAGGTCCTTTCTTCTAATTGCAGCCAACCAAGCAATCCGACGTCTCCTTGTCAGGTCAGAGAATTGCTCCCCTTGATGCTTTTTCCATTTCGGTAACCTAAAAAACTGTATCCCGTTGTTACTAGGTTTTCCATATCCATCATGGGAGGTATTGGAGCAGTTTTTAACGCAGCAGTTATTTCCAGGCATGATAAAACAGTGCGGAATAGCAAGAACCTCCGCTACTACCGCGTTCACAACACACGTAAACAAACTGTACTGCCGCCACCGGTGCGCAGCCAATATGTCGGCAAAGGGGGGATGGGGAGGGGGGACTCTGTGCCGTGACGTCAACTCCTCATTTACCAGAGCTGACCCCAACCCTGCACGGTACACACTTTTATTACAGTTAAGCCTGAGCTGTCACCAAACTCTTTACACCTGGACCTGAACCGTTAAACATCATTCTGTTATAATCATTGCATCATGTGTCTTCTGAGCCACTCTGATTCCGAGCCACCTGGTCCCGAGCCACTTGGTTCCGAGCCTGAGTCCACCCGCAGCTCAACTACACAGGTCTATTCTGGTTAAACCGACGGTTTGAAGCGAAACCAGCAAGAAACACGAGCGTTAAACCGAGCTAATGCTAACAATGCTAGCGATGCCAACAATGCTAACAATGCTAACGGCGCTAACGGCGCCATCAACGGCTGGCGCGTGCGCCAAACCGCATCCCACTCACCTCGTGCGGACTCCCGGCGCCAGTTACGGACCAAAAGGGTAAGTATGTGTTTTATTCTCTGGTAGAGGAGGAGACAGCAGTCTCTGGTAGAGGAGCAGAGGAGACAGCAGTCTCTGGTAGAGGAGCAGAGGAGACAGCAGTCTCTGGTAGAGGAGCAGAGGAGACAGCAGTCTCTGGTAGAGGAGGAGGACACAGCAGTCTCTGGTAGAGGAGCAGAGGAGGACTCAGCAGTCTCTGGTAGAGGAGCAGAGGAGGAGGACACAGCAGTCTCTGGTAGAGGAGCAGAGGGTGAGGAAGGAACATGTGCGTTTGTTATGGAGGAAGTGAGGCTTGTTCTCTCGCAGACCAGGAGCATCAGAGCTCTATACTGCCAACTACAGGACACTACAGGACACTACTACCATCTCAGACAGAAGTAACATACCATCAGAGACAGAACATACCATCAGAGACAGAAGTAACATACCATCACAGACAGAACATACCATCAGAGACAGAAGTAACATACCATCACAGACAGAACATACCATCAGAGACAGAAGTAACATACCATCAGAGACAGAAGTAATATACCATCAGAGACAGAAGTAACATACCATCAGAGACAGAACATACCATCAGAGACAGAAGTAACATACCATCACAGACAAAACATACCATCAGAGACAGAAGTAACATACCATCAGAGACAGAAGTAATATACCATCAGAGACAGAACATACCATCAGAGACAGAAGTAACATACCATCACAGACAGAACATACCATCAGAGACAGAAGTAACATACCATCAGAGACAGAAGTAATATACCATCAGAGACAGAAGTAACATACCATCAGAGACAGAACATACCATCAGAGACAGAAGTAACATACCATCACAGACAAAACATACCATCAGAGACAGAAGTAACATACCATCAGAGACAGAAGTAATATACCATCAGAGACAGAACATACCATCAGAGACAGAAGTAACATACCATCACAGACAGAAGTAATATACCATCAGAGACAGAAGTAACATACCATCACAGACAGAACATACCATCAGAGACAGAAGTAACATACCATCACAGACAGAACATACCATCAGAGACAGAAGTAACATACCATCACAGACAGAACATACCATCAGAGACAGAAGTAACATACCATCAGAGACAGAAGTAATATACCATCAGAGACAGAAGTAACATACCATCAGAGACAGAAGTAACATACCATCAGAGACAGAAGTAACATACCATTAGAGACAAAAGTAACATACCATCAGAGACAGAAGTAACATACCATCAGAGACAGAAGTAATATACCATCAGAGACAAAAGTAACATACCATCAGATACAGAAGTAATATACCATCACAGACAGAAGTAACATACCATCACAGACAGAAGTAACATACCATCAGAGACAGAAGTAACATACCATCACAGACAGAACATACCATCAGAGACAGAAGTAACATACCATCAGAGACAGAAGTAATATACCATCAGAGACAGAAGTAACATACCATCAGAGACAGAAGTAACATACCATCAGAGACAGAAGTAACATACATCACAGACAGAAGTAACATACCATCAGAGACAGAAGTAACATACCATCAGAGACAGAAGTAACATACCATCACAGACAGAAGTAACATACCATCACAGACAGAAGTAACATACCATCACAGACAGAAGTAACATACCATCACAGACAGAAGTAACATACCATCAGAGACAGAAGTAACATACCATCAGAGACAGAAGTAACATACCATCAGAGACAGAAGTAACATACCATCAGAGACAGAAGTAACATACCATCAGAGACAGAAGTAACATACCATCAGAGACAGAAGTAACATACCATCAGAGACAGAAGTAACATACCATCAGAGACAGAACATACCATCAGAGACAGAAGTAACATACCATCAGAGACAGAAGTAATATACCATCAGAGACAGAAGTAACATACCATCAGAGACAGAAGTAACATACCATCAGAGACAGAAGTAACATACCATCAGAGACAGAAGTAACATACCATCAGAGACAGAAGTAACATACCATCAGAGACAGAACATACCATCAGAGACAGAAGTAACATACCATCAGAGACAGAACATACCATCAGAGACAGAAGTAACATACCATCAGAGACAGAAGTAACATACCATCAGAGACAGAAGTAACATACCATCAGAGACAGAAGTAACATACCATCAGAGACAGAACATACCATCAGAGACAGAAGTAACATACCATCAGAGACAGAAGTAACATACCATCAGAGACAGAAGTAACATACCATCACAGACAGAAGTAACATAACATCAGAGACAGAAGTAACATACCATCACAGACAGAAGTAACATACCATTAGAGACAGAAGTAACATACCATCACAGACAGAAGTAACATACCATCACAGACAGAAGTAACATACCATCACAGACAGAAGTAACATACCATCACAGACAGAAGTAACATACCATCAGAGACAGAAGTAACATACCATCAGAGACAGAAGTAACATACCATCAGAGACAGAAGTAACATACCATCAGAGACAGAAGTAACATACCATCAGAGACAGAAGTAACATACCATCAGAGACAGAAGTAACATACCATTAGAGACAAAAGTAACATACCATCAGAGACAGAAGTAACATACCATCAGAGACAGAAGTAATATACCATCAGAGACAAAAGTAACATACCATCAGAGACAGAAGTAATATACCATCACAGACAGAAGTAACATACCATCACAGACAGAAGTAACATACCATCAGAGACAGAAGTAACATACCATCACAGACAGAACATACCATCACAGACAGAAGTAACATACCATCAGAGACAGAAGTAACATACCATCACAGACAGAAGTAACATACCATCACAGACAGAAGTAACATACCATCAGAGACAGAAGTAACATATCATCACAGACAGAAGTAACATACCATCAGAGACAGAAGTAACATACCATCAGAGACAGAAGTAACATACCATCACAGACAGAAGTAACATACCATCACAGACAGAAGTAACATACCATCACAGACAGAAGTAACATACCATCAGAGACAGAAGTAACATACCATCACAGACAGAAGTAACATACCATCAGAGACAGAAGTAACATACCATCAGAGACAGAAGTAACATACCATCAGAGACAGAAGTAACATACCATCAGAGAAAGAAGTAACATACCATCAGAGACAGAAGTAACATACCATCAGAGACAGAAGTAACATACCATCAGAGACAGAACATACCATCAGAGACAGAAGTAACATACCATCAGAGACAGAACATACCATCAGAGACAGAAGTAATATACCATCAGAGACAGAAGTAACATACCATCAGAGACAGAAGTAACATATCATCAGAGACAGAAGTAACATACCATCAGAGACAGAAGTAACATACCATCAGAGACAGAACATACCATCAGAGACAGAAGTAACATACCATCAGAGACAGAAGTAACATATCATCACAGACAGAACATACCATCAGAGACAGAAGTAACATACCATCAGAGACAGAAGTAATATACCATCAGAGACAGAAGTAACATACCATCAGAGACAGAAGTAATATACCATCAGAGACAGAAGTAACATACCATCACAGACAGAAGTAACATACCATCAGAGACAGAAGTAACATACCATGAAAGCAGGTTAGATACCCCAGTGTTGAGTAAGAAGTACAAACCTACTTAAAGTGCATTTATCTGAACGTGTGCTGAGACTTTTAGCTGTAAACAAGACCACCCTCCAGGGGTTTGAGCATGACCACAATGTAGTGTTTCACTCTGTATAGTGTCGTCATCTGCAAAGTAATCCAGGGTAAAAGGAAAACAAAGTATCTTTTGAAGAGATAGAAGGAAAGGAGCTTTATGTCATGTATACTGGAGTATGAAGACCTGCTCCCTCTGCAGTACGCCGCACAAATATCCAGGAGCAATTAACTAATCAAACTGTAGATTTGATTTGATTGCAAATGTAAAATAGTCTTGTCCAAACACCCTTTGCACTGATATATAATGATGTGATGTTATAATTGTGTTCCTCTTGTGTTTGAAGTTGTGGTCAACACCAGGAGACGCTGAAATGTCCCTGACCTTTCTTTTTCCCTCCTTGGACATGATTGTGCACATTGTTGAAACATAATGGCGCTGTGTGCATTTGTGCTGATGGACAGTGACAGAGTCCTGCGCATGCGTGTAGCGTGTGTGATGAAGAGGTGAAGATGAAGCCAAAGGACAGCACACAGTAAAGGCACGCAATCTGCAATCAGGGAAACAACCAGGGAACCAACCAGGAAACACAGACAGCCCTGGACCAGGACCAGAGCACGTGCAGGCTTCATTATTCATGGGCAATGCGTCACATTGAAGCCGCCACACAAATGTAGGAAGATGCAGCAGCCAAGAGAATACTTATAAAGAGAAAGAAAGATATGTGTTGCACTGTTGTGAATGTATGTGCATGTGTCTTTTTGTGTCTATGTTGGACTCCGTAATACAGGCTTCATTCATTCATTCAACATCAGACCAACACTTTAATACTATTACTATTAGTAATACTAGTACTAGTACTATTACTGCTGCTGCTGCGGCTGCAGATGCCACGTCCTACGGCAGACCTTTGGCCTCTGCTCATGCATAGGAGCAGACACTTCCCCTCTTTGTATTGGTGATACATGTTTTTATCTGAAGTCATAATGGCGGCGTACGACGGAGCCGTGCGTGTGCATGTGCGTGCGCGCTCTGGAGGGGCGGGGACACGCGTCTATAAAACCGCACAGTGACGAAAGCCGTCACCGCAGAGAGGAGCAGCAGCACAGCTCCACACGGACTCATCATCATAGGGATCTTTGTCTCCACCGCAACCAACACCAGTCACCTTCAGACCCGCGCACAGCAGGTAGGCATCACCCGAGACACCCGCAGGACATCCTGCAGCCATACGACAGGCGAGAGCAGAGGGAACAAGGAGTAGAGCTGAGGAGAGCTGGGGCTATTGTTATGTGTCATTGTTGCACTGCTGTGTCCTGGGGGTGACGGGGGTCTGCTTCATGCTCCAGTGCACCTCCAGGGCATCTCCAGTACATCCCCAGTGCATCTCCAGTGCATTGGAGCATCGCTGCTGCAGGGTGGCATAGGGGTCTGTCCTCTCCTCTCACTGACCGTCTCCCCCTTCCCCCTCCCCCCTCCTCCTTCTGCAGGGAGCAGCCATGCCTTTCGGAAACACGCACAACCAGTGGAAGCTCAAATACTCCGGAGATGATGAGTTCCCGGATCTGTCCAAACACAACAACCACATGGCCAAGATTCTCACCCCGGAGATGTACGCGAATTTGCGCGACAAACAGACCCCCAGCGGCTTCACCCTGGATGACGTCATCCAGACTGGAGTGGACAACCCAGGTACGGACCGTGCCGGACTGTGCTGCAGCTGCAGTCCGCTCTGACCTTGTAACGGATAAAGAGTCTAAAAGAGGCGCATTATCAGCGCGTGAGGCGGTAGCAAAGATTACCGTTACATAACGGTTTAATCCCACATCAGTCCCTGCCGCGTCCCTACCGCGTCTCTGCCTCGTCCTGCCGCCTTCCTACCGCGTGTCTCCCGCCTCTGTACTGCGCTCTGTCGCGCCGTGGCAGTGTTGCCCCATCAGTGGCAGCTGTGATTCCTCCACATCACTAATGACATCAGGGTTATCTGCATCATCACACACACACACACACACATGCAGACTCGTGCACGCACATTCAAGTGCACGCACATTCAAATGCATGCACGCACGGGTGCTTGTGAATGAGGCCTCAGCAGGTTTCGCAGCAGCAGCTAAATAAATCTCACTGTGTATTTGGGTCCAATGTTTAAACGCTTATTGCAGAATCACACAGATCACGTGCTCTCCAGTTAATTGGCTTTTTCATGTGCACTGAGCGTTCATGTGGCGCCCTCTGGTGGTGGGACTGAGGAGGCTCTATATTTTTGACATGCACCAGTCTATTATTTTTTAAAGTAAAATGACAAACTGATACAAGTTGACTGTATTTATTCAAACATTTGAGCTAACCTAGAGTCAGTGTCAGTTTTTAAGAGAAAGAGACATTCCTCTTCCGTCATCACCAGGTGTGGAGTGATTGCAACAATATCTGATTTCTGAACATTGTAAAGCACGTTGGGTGACCTTGGTTTGTAAAATGTGCTATATAAATAAACATTACTTACTTTTTGTGAAAGAAATGTCCTGTTTTACAGGACATCATGTCACCTCTAGACTCCTTCAAGAGAAACAAGACCATAGATATGTGCCGACACATGGTGTCATCACTAGACTCCTTCAGACCATAGATATGTGCCGACACATGGTGTCATCACTAGACTCCTTCAGACCATAGATATGTGCCGACACATGGTGTCATCACTAGACTCCTTCAGACCATAGATATGTGCCGACACATGGTGTCATCACTAGACTCCTTCAGACCATAGATATGTGCCGACACATGGTGTCATCACTAGACTCCTTCAGACCATAGATATGTGGAACAGCGGTGGAACTTTTGGACAGTTCATGTGGATTGTTCCAGGTTTAGAGAATTTGGCTCTAAACTCAGACCAAAGTTACCTGAAACTATTGCTCTTTAGTCTTTCCACATACTTTCCACTAAAATATCACTCAGAACATTAACTGCTGTTTAAGGGCCAAAAGGAACACATGTGTGTGATGTGCGCCTCAGTATACAGATGTGTGTATTGCCTCTCAGTATATGTGTATTGCACCTCAGTATACAGATGTGTGTATTGCCTCTCAGTATATATGTATGTATTGCACCTCAGTGTATAGATGTTTGTATTGTACCTCAGTATGTATGTGTATTGCACCTCAGTATACAGGTGTGTTTGTACTGCCCCTCAGTATACAGGTGTCTTTGTATTGCACCACAGTATATAGATGTTTGTATTGCACCCCAGTGTGTATTACAGCTCAGTATACAGATGTGTTTGTATTGCACCCCAGTGTGTATTACAGCTCAGTATGTGTGTATTGCACCTCAGTATACAGATGTGTTTGTATTGCAGCACACAGAGCATGTCTGGCCTCAGTGTGACTCTAAGGCGCTGCAGTGTGAAGGAAGAGTTCCCTGATCTGTCCAATCACAACAACCACATGTCCAAAGTCCTCACAGAGGACATGTACGCTCGTCTGAGACTACTCAGCACGCCCAGCGGCTTCACCATCGACCAAGTCATTCAGACCGGAGTGGACAACCCGGGTACAGGGCAGGGACAGGGGACAGTGACAGGGCAGGGACAACCCGGGTACAGGGCAGGGACAGGAGACGGGGCAGGGACAACCCGGCCACAGGGACAGGAGAGGGGGCAGGGACAACCCGGTTGCAGGGCAGAGACAGGGGACAGGAGAAAGGCCAGGGACAACCCGGGTGCAGGGACAGGATACGGGGCAGGGACAACCCAGGTACAGGGCAGGGACAGGAGACAGGACAGGAACAGCAGGGACATGGGACAGAGCAGGGACATGGGACCGATCAGGGACAGGAGACGGGACATGGGACTCGGTGCTTCCTGTGGGACACATTTGTCCTCTGCTCACACACGTGTCTGTGCAGGTCACCCCTTCATCATGACTGTGGGCTGTGTGGCTGGAGATGAAGAGACCTATGAAGTGTTCAAGGAGCTGCTGGACCCAGTGATCGAGGACCGTCACGGAGGATACAAGCCTACTGACAAGCACAAGACTGACCTCAACCCAGACAACCTACAGGTACCACTGCTACTGACCTCAACCCAGACAACTTACAGGTACGACTGACCTCGCGGTGTCACTGACTCTTGCGCGTCTCTCGCGGTGTCACTGACTCCTGCGCGTCTCTCGCGGTGTCACTGACTCCTGCGCGTCTCTCGCGGTGTCACTGACTCCTGCGCGTCTCTCGCGGTGTCACTGACTCCTGCGCGTCTCTCGCGGTGTCACTGACTCCTGCGCGTCTCTCGCGGTGTCACTGACTCCTGCGCGTCTCTCGCGGTGTCACTGACTCCTGCGCGTCCCTCGCGGTGTCACTGACTCCTGCGCGTCCCTCGCGGTGTCACTGACTCCTGCGCGTCCCTCGCGGTGTCACTGACTCCTGCGCGTCCCTCGCGGTGTCACTGACTCCTGCGCGTCCCTCGCGGTGTCACTGACTCCTGCGCGTCCCTCGCGGTGTCACTGACTCCTGCGCGTCCCTCGCGGTGTCACTGACTCCTGCGCGTCCCTCGCGGTGTCACTGACTCCTGCGCGTCCCTCGCGGTGTCACTGACTCCTGCGCGTCCCTCGCGGTGTCACTGACTCCTGCGCGTCCCTCGCGGTGTCACTGACTCCTGCGCGCCCGTCGCGGTGTCACTGACTCCTGCGCGCCCGTCGCGGTGTCACTGACTCCTGCGCGCCCGTCGCGGTGTCACTGACTCCTGCGCGCCCGTCGCGGTGTCACTGACTCCTGCGCGCCCGTCGCGGTGTCACTGACTCCTGCGCGCCCGTCGCGGTGTCACTGAAGGGCTCGACACACGAGAGGCGACATCGCATCGCCTCCATTCATTTTCAATGGGACGTGCGCGACATAGCGTCAATCGCTAGCGAGCCTCCTGCTCAGCGACGGGCGAAAAACGTGCGTGTGAAATCCTCCTGCTCGTGCATGTATCGTGCACGCGCAGGTCAGCGACGCGATCCCAGAAAGTTGAAATCGGCTCAACTTTTTGACGCTGTCGTCAAGCCGCATCGCGCCCCGTCTGTCATGTTATCTGAGCGACAGCGTTGAGTTTCGCCAATCGCTCTCATTTGTCGCCTCCCGTGTGTCGAGCCCTTGACTCCTGCGCGCCTGTCGCGGTGTCACTGACTCCTGCGCGCCTGTCGCGGTGTCACTGACTCCTGCGCGCCTGTCGCGGTGTCACTGACTCCTGCGCGCCTGTCGCGGTGTCACTGACTCCTGCGCGCCTGTCGCGGTGTCACTGACTCCTGCGCGCCTGTCGCGGTGTCACTGACTCCTGCGCGCCTGTCGCGGTGTCACTGACTCCTGCGCGCCTGTCGCGGTGTCACTGACTCCTGCGCGCCTGTCGCGGTGTCACTGACTCCTGCGCGCCTGTCGCGGTGTCACTGACTCCTGCGCGCCTGTCGCGGTGTCACTGACTCCTGCGTCTCTTGCGGTGACACTGACTCCTGTGTCTCTTGCGGTGACACTGACTCCTGTGTCTCAGGGCGGAGACGACCTGGACCCCGCCTACGTGCTCAGCTCCAGAGTCCGAACAGGACGCAGCGTTCGCGGCTTCACTCTGCCACCGCACTGCAGCCGCGGGGAGAGGCGGGCCATCGAGAAGCTGTCCATTGAAGGTCAGAAATGTACACAAACATGTACACAAAGTACACATGGTGTAGGAGATAGAATATATTATCTCCTACACCAACAGAATAGAATCTTTTTACTAAAAGATTGCTTGAAATGATTACATTATGAGGGTACCACTTCCAGGGTACCCTCCGGGGTCTAGACCCTGGAGAGTACTTTAGAAGAACGTGAAATCAGTTTTAAGTTGTTTGCTTTTGTTGTCAGTGTTGTCATTAAGAGGATGCTCTCACTCTGTCTCACTCTGTCTCATGTGTCCTGTCCTCAGCCCTGGCGTCCCTGAGTGGAGACCTGAATGGGACATACTATGCTCTGAAGAACATGACTGATGAGGAGCAGCAGCAGCTCATCGATGACCACTTCCTGTTTGACAAACCTGTGTCTCCTCTGCTGCTGGCCTCTGGGATGGCCCGTGACTGGCCAGACGCCCGTGGCATCTGGTCAGAACCCTCACCTCTGTAATAATGCTGTGGTCAAAGAATACATGACAACTTAATGGTTTGGCTCACAGGCACAACGACAACAAGACCTTCTTAGTGTGGGTCAATGAGGAGGACCATCTGAGAGTCATCTCTATGCAGAAGGGAGGCAACATGAAGGAGGTGTTCAACCGCTTCTGCACTGGCCTCACCAAGGTACTGCTATTGCTACTACAGCTGCTGCTGCTGCTGCTGCTGCTGCTACTACTACTGCTGCTGCTACTACTACTGCCACTACTACTGTTACTACATGTTCTGCAGTACATGTACTGCATAGATAGGTACTTTATTGATCCCTGTCTGAGAAATTCAGGTGTCCAGTAGCAGCAAAAATAAAATTGATAATTCTAAAAGTCTACCAATAATAATCAGCAACAGCCCTTCAGGTCACAGCAGCAGAGGTGGAGTTGTCTCTGGGTGGAGCAGGACAGGTCACAAGGTGGAGTAGCCGCTTGGGTTTTGACCACTTTCTCTGTCCAAAATAAAATGCTTCATTAGCATTATTCATAAATTTAGCATTCCTCCAGTGGATTTTCGCCTGATCCACTTGGTTTGGACCATGAATCCTCTCTGCTCTGGACTGGACTAGTGTAAAACCATGAATCCTCTCTGCTCTGGACTGGACTAGTGTAAAACCATGAATCCTCTCTGCTCTGGTCTGCACCAGTGTAAAACCATGAACAACTGCAGAAAAAAAGACAGTTTCAGAGACACTCAGCGCAATCAAAAGTAAACATGTGGTGAACATGCAGTAAACATGTGGTGAACATGCAGTAAACATGCGGTGAACATGCAGTAAACATGCGGTGAACATGCAGTAAACATGTAGTACTGCAGAAAACTGTGCTCTGTGTGGAGCAGGGCTTCAGTCTGACGTGTGTGCGTGTCCACAGATTGAGAACCTGTTCAAACAGCGTGGTCATGACTTCATGTGGAATGAACATCTGGGCTATGTTCTGACCTGTCCCTCTAACCTGGGCACCGGACTGAGGGCCGGGGTCCACGTCAAACTGCCCCTCATGAGCAAGCACGCCAAGTTTGAGGATGTGCTGAAGAAGCTGAGGCTGCAGAAGAGAGGCACTGGTGAGACACACACACTACACACACTATCTATATAGGAGCTGAGGCTGCAGAAGAGAGGCACTGGTGAGACACACACACTATATAGGAGCTGAGGCTGCAGAAGAGAGGCACTGGTGTGGTCAGTCTAGCTCCTCTCTCTCAGGGGGTGGGGTCAGTCTAGCTCCTCTCTCTCTCCCTCTCGGGGGGTGTGGTCAGTTTAGCTCCTCCCCCTCTCAGGGGGTGTGGTCAGTCTAGCTCCTCTCTCTCTCTCTCAGGGGGTGTGGTCAGTCTAGCTCCTCTCTCTCTCTCTCAGGGGGTGTGGTCAGTCTAGCTCCTCTCTCTCTCTCTCTCAGGGGGTGTGGTCAGTCTAGCTCCTCTCTCTCTCTCTCTCAGGGGGTGTGGTCAGTCTAGCTCCTCTCTCTCTCTCTCAGGGGGTGTGGTCAGTCTAGCTCCTCTCTCTCTCTCTCAGGGGGTGTGGTCAGTCTAGCTCCTCTCTCTCTCTCTCTCTCTCAGGGGGTGTGGTCAGTCTAGCTCCTCTCTCTCTCTCAGGGGGTGTGGTCAGTCTAGCTCCTCTCTCTCTCTCTCAGGGGTGTGGTCAGTCTAGCTTCTCTCTCTCTCTCTCAGGGGGTGTGGTCAGTCTAGCTCCTCTCTCTCTCTCAGGGGGTGTGGTCAGTCTAGCTCCTCTCTCTCTCTCAGGGGGTGTGGTCAGTCTAGCTCCTCTCCCTTTCTCAGGGGGTGTGGTCAGTCTAGCTCCTCTCCCTCTCTCAGGGGGTGTGGTCAGTCTAGCTCCTCCCTCTCTCTCAGGGGGTGTGGTCAGTCTAGCTCTCTCTCTCTCTCAGGGGGTGTGGTCAGTCTAGCTCCTCTCTCTCTCTCTCAGGGGGTGTGGTCAGTCTAGCTCCTCTCTCTCTCTCTCTCGGGGGGTGTAGTCAGTCTAGCTCCTCTCTCTCTCAGGGGGTGTGGTCAGTCTAGCTCCTCTCTCTCTCTCAGGGGGTGTGGTCAGTCTAGCTCCTCTCTCTCTCTCAGGGGGTGTGGTCAGTCTAGCTCCTCCCTCTCTCTCAGGGGGTGTGGTCAGTCTAGCTCCTCTCTCTCTCTCTGGGGGTGTGGTCAGTCTAGCTCCTCTCTCTCTCTCTGGGGGTGTGGTCAGTCTAGCTCCTCTCTCTCTCAGGGGGTGTGGTCAGTCTAGCTCCTCTCTCTCTCAGGGGGTGTGGTCAGTCTAGCTCCTCTCTCTCTCAGGGGGTGTGGTCAGTCTAGCTCCTCTCTCTCTCTCTCAGGGGGTGTGGTCAGTCTAGCTCCTCTCTCTCTCTCTCTCAGGGGGTGTGGTCAGTCTAGCTCCTCTCTCTCTCTCTCTCTCAGGGGGTGTGGTCAGTCTAGCTCCTCTCTCTCCCTTTCTCAGGGGGTGTGGTCAGTCTAGCTCCTCTCTCTCCCTTTCTCAGGGGGTGTGGTCAGTCTAGCTCCTCTCTCTCCCTTTCTCAGGGGGTGTGGTCAGTCTAGCTCCTCTCTCTCCCTCTCTCAGGGGGTGTGGTCAGTCTAGCTCCTCTCTCTCTCTCTCTCTCAGGGGGTGTGGTCAGTCTAGCTCCTCTCTCTCCCTTTCTCAGGGGGTGTGGTCAGTCTAGCTCCTCTCTCTCCCTTTCTCAGGGGGTGTGGTCAGTCTAGCTCCTCTCCCTCTCTCAGGGGGTGTGGTCAGTCTAGCTCCTCTCCCTCTCTCAGGGGGTGTGGTCAGTCTAGCTCCTCTCCCTCTCTCAGGGGGTGTGGTCAGTCTAGCTCCTCTCCCTCTCTCAGGGGGTGTGGTCAGTCTAGCTCCTCTCTCTCCCTTTCTCAGGGGGTGTGGTCAGTCTAGCTCCTCTCCCTTTCTCAGGGGGTGTGGTCAGTCTAGCTCCTCTCCCTCTCTCAGGGGGTGTGGTCAGTCTAGCTCCTCTCCCTCTCTCAGGGGGTGTGGTCAGTCTAGCTCCTCTCCCTCTCTCAGGGGGTGTGGTCAGGCTAGCTCCTCCCTCTCTCAGGGGGTGTGGTCAGTCTAACTCAGGGGTGCTCACACTTTTTCAGCATGCAAGATACTTATAAAATGATCAAGTCAAAATGATCTACCTACTACAAAAATGAAAATCAATTATTTCTTTATATCTACAATGTAAGTTGATGTCGAGCCCCGCTGATCCAAGATGGCGCCCTGTTCAAATGAATGGCTTGTGCTCAGTAGTTCATGGGACTTCACAGAGACAGGGAGATTAGCAGAATTCGCCCATATTTGGGCATCGTCTGGTTCTGTGCAGCGGACGAGCTCCCATGATGCTTTGCACCAAATACTCGTGTGTTGCTTTCATGCACGTGCACAGAGGGGCTCGGCCAATCTCTGACCAATCAGAGCAGCAGGGCGGAGTCAGAGCGGGAAGGAGCAGAGTTTGTGGCAGTAAAGTGTGGATTTAAAGCAAACCGAAGGATTTAAGAAGAAAAAAAGTTCACTAACATCCCCACAGAATCTGATCTTTATGAAAGCTGTAGGCTCTGTCAGGTTCTCTGTCAGGTTCTCTGTCAGCTGAGGTCCAGTTTTAGTTTACATTGAGTTCTATGGGACTTTTTTCTGGGTAGCCCACGTGATTTTAGTTTGCAGTACCACAGTGCCCCCTGTGGCCATAGGTGGGACAGCTGTAAGCTAGTAATACTTTATCCTGTTATTATTATAGATCCATGGGTGCTGTACATGCAAAACTGCATGATTTATGAAATCATTCGCATCCTCACATAACTGGACATCTGCGTTTTCAATCACATTCACAACATTCCAAACGTGCCTCCTCTGACGTCCTGCGTCTGGGAAAAACAGAAGTGGGCGGAGCTTTGATGCTAACGCCGGTACTTCTGTAGCGGTACTTTTACAGTCATAGTAGAAACTCGGGGTGAAGACATATGTTCACAAGCACTGACCCCCGTCCTAAACCAGTCCTGGTTTAGTCCTGGTTTAGCTCCTGTTTTGGTGGTTTTGGAGCGAGAGTCCCTGTGATCACTTTGCTGCTGCGAGCGGTTCACAGCAAGCAACATCCTCCACATCAGAGAGCGGCAAACAGTTTTTAAGGCAGTAAGATCCATGCTTCAGTGATCAGCGGTCGCATGTTTTGTTAGGCTCGAGCCCCAAACGGGGTAAGGGCCTATTGCTTTCACAATGGTGAATGCAAGGGGTGGCGGTGCGTGACGCGCCCATCACTCACCACAACGTGACGGTTGCGTGCGTAACTTCAAACACTTTAAAATGATGTATCAGGTGCCATTGAAACCTATATTGTTTTTGCTCGAGACGTCAAATTCCTTGGTTTATTTCTTTTGTTTTTCTTCTGCACTTTGAGCCTTAATTTGACCCCCTGAACATGCATGAAAAGTTGTTACATTTTGCCCAAAAATCAGACCTGGCAAAAAATTTGATATTTTGGTGTTTATTTTTATGGGACTCAAAAAATGCCAGAACAGCGCCACCTACAACAGCCAAAATAATTTCACTGCAAAATGGAAAAATGAACAAGTTTTCATACATGTCGGTTGGAAAGCAACTCCTCCTCGGCCGTTTCACCGATTCGCCTCAATCGCTCCACATCATCTCAACACATGTACCTTCAAAATGACCTCAGGGATTTTTGATCAGTGAAACATTGTTTGAGCGGCAAAGTGCTCCCGTTTGGACAAAGTCTGATTTGCACAAAACTTTAATAAATTGTTCAACTCTAGGGTTTAGGTCAATTAAAAGTGTAATAAAAACTTGGCTCAGTAGCGCCCCCTACAGATGGAGTCAACTTTTTTAGTATGGGAGGGGTTTGTGCTCCAGTTTGTTGCTAAACTCCGGTTATCTCTGTCTACACGCAACTGCATAAGCTAACTTTGTTTATGTAATGCGATCTACCAATACTACCTTTGCAATGGACTGGTAGATCGCGATCGTATTGAGCACCCCTGGTTTAACGCCTCCCTCTCTCTCTCACGGGGTGTGGTCAGTCTAACTCCTCCCTCTCTCTCTCTCAGGGGGCGTGGACACAGCAGCAGTGGGTGGGATCTTTGACATCTCCAACGCTGACCGTCTGGGCTTCTCGGAGGTGGAGCTGGTGCAGATGGTGGTGGATGGGATCAAGCTTCTCGTGGAGATGGAGAAGCGTCTGGAGAAAGGCCAATCCGTCGATGACCTAATGCCCTCCCAGAAGTAACACTCCTCCCCCATAACCCCCCTTACACCCCCCTTCCCCCACTACTGACTGTCCTCATGCACTGTACCACGTTTGGTTTGAGATATTTAAGAAACTCAACAGTCAATAATAAAGAACTCCAACTGTTCCACTGCGTCCTGAGTCTTTGTTCCTGCTGTAGTCCTGCTGTAGTCCTGCTGTAGTCCTGCTGTAGTCCTGCTGTAGTTTATATATATTTATATATATATTTAATATAAATATATATGGGCTTGTTCACACTAAAGGGCACAAAAGTGTGACAAAAGGCCAAAAATTAGATTTTAATAATCAGAAGATATTTTATGTTTTTCATGTTTCCAGCACCTCCTCAGTCCATTAGAAGTTTCTAGAACAAAACTGTTTTATACATTAGACAAGTTTCCTGTAGCGCCCTGTTCATTGTATGTAACGGACGATGATTTGACGGAATGAGCTTTATGGAAGTTTGATAGGTATTATCAGATGTCCACATTTGATTCAGAGATTCTATTTTTTTACACAAAGTAGATGCAAAGTGATACTTTCATATTGTCAAGCAATTAAATGTGAAAACAGACCAGATTTTTTTTTTTCCCTCAAGTTTAATTTTTAGAGAAAAGAGGACTGTCCTCATCACGTCAGTTATACATTTTTCAGGGGTCATTTAATTTTTATATTTTTACGATTCCTTTTTATATCAAGTGATTTCCTTCTGTTGTGTTAACCATGTAACTCTTGTGGGATTTCATCTTCTGCTTTTTCAGACTGAGGACATTTTATTTCCTATGTAACTGGTGTCACAGTAGAATGGTCCAATCAGAGGCTCATTTGGTCGTTTAAAATGTTGCTAAACATTTTTATGTCAATCTTTCCTTTAGGTTTTTTCCACACTATCTCTTCAATGTGTCTGTGTTTGAAATATTTTTTCCAATCTATGAAAGTAATTTTAGTTTTTAAGTTATAACCTTTTAAAGTCCAGATACTTCAATTGTCACTTTACTGTGAACACACTCATATTATATATATGATATGTAAGGGATAACGTATATTACGCAGGTCATTATCGGAAAATAAGTACCTTCAGGGCGAAGCTGACCCCGATGCGGAGGGGTCTGCTTCCGCCCTGAAGGTACTTATTTTCCGATAATGACCTGCGTAATATACGTTATCCCGCTTATTATACGGCTTTATACCAACAGAACACACAACATAAACTTCAGTCTACTTTTAGGAATGCCCAAAGGTTTATTTAATGACAGAAAATAAAGTAGTTCCCAAAGGCTTTCCCGTGGCTATGCTAGCAACAGTTAGGCTAGCAACTTCCAAACTAGAACTCTCTGGAACTGCATGAAAACTGAACACAGAATCCTGAACATCAGCGGTGAGTGACCCAAACATAAACTTAACCTAAATCCATAATTCCATCCTCTGCAAATGTTCTTAAAATGTGCCGATATCTACGACCGGGTTTTTCGGGATCGCCTTTTCTCGCATTACATCAGTGTTTTTGTCATGAAAACGGAAACGGAAAATTCTGAAAACTTCCGTGCACTTGTATTAAGACTGGATATGTATAAATTACTCTCCGATTAACATTTAATGACGTTGATTGATTGGCATTTGCGTTTATTGAGAGGCCGGAACTACTTCCGGGTTTTTCACGATCGCTTTTTGACGCAGAGAAATAGTATTTTTGTCATGAAGACAAGGAAATTCTGAAAAATGTCCGTGTACGTGTGTGAAGAATGTATATGTATAAGTATTCTCCGATTCACATTTAAGTGTGTTGATTGAGCGTGGCTAGCTCCGGAGTGGCCGGAACTACTTGCGGAGTTATCCACGCATTTGAAAGACGAGCAGAGAGTGCGTTGCCAAAGGGCAGCGGTCATTATTGTTTTGAGAGGTCCGTTATAGAAAAGAATGACCGGTAGAACGTTTTGAAATTACATTCAGATCAATGGAGCGTTCTACTGCTGCTGTGAGGAGCAGTATAATAAATATAATATATATATATAATATATATATATATAATATATATATATATATATATATATATCACATTCAACAGCCTAAGGTTCACCCAAAGTGCTTTACAAAGTGCAGATGGTTTCATGGTGTCCACCCGGTGGTAACGTTGTGTACTGCAAAACATATTGAATTATAGAAACTTCTTGAGTGATATTGTTTAAATGCAAACATTTGCATCGCAAAATGTGAAAATTGTACCATGGGAAAGGTCAGGGTATTGAAGGGTTGTAGGGTTTTGAAAAGGGGCAGAAAAAGGGGCAGAAAAATAAGAATTTTATTCTCTTCCTTTCCTTAATGTAAAAGTAAAAAAAAAAAATGTAAACAAAGCATTTTCATGAAAGGAACAAATGAATACAAATATGGAAGCAAGACGCCAAACACACTGGTCCAAAGGCCCAACCACATTCAGGCTATTGTACATGTTTAGTGATAGGGCAAACCGGAGCACCTGGAGGAAACCTACAGTCACGGGAATAAAATTTAAACTCCGCTCGAAAGGAATTGAACCCAGGACCTTCTTGCTGAGATGTCAGAATGCTAACCACTCAGCCGCCCTGTAGCCCTGCTTAAGTCCTTCGGGGTGCGCTAAGTGGTACGCAGGTACGCATGTGCGAGTCAGTGCGACAAATATCAGAAATGCTACTATCACTTGAGTTAGAAAGAGCTTTTGTGTACTTCACACAGACCAGTCCAGGCGCGGTCCGTCTCTGGCTACGTGCGCGAATATAGTTTTATACTGAAGGCTGACTTTCATGCCGCACACGCCACACACACCGGCACGCACACACACACACACTATACCACACTGGCGCACTGTTTCCCACTTCCATTCATACGTAACATCCACAGCATCATCCGTTCTCTCGTCTGTCTCTCCTCAGTTACTAGTTCACCAAAGGTTCACACACAGTTACACACACATTAACGCACACAGTTACACACACATTAACGCACACAGTTACGCACACCTTTACGCACACAGTTACGCACACATTTACGCACACATTTACGCACACATTTACGCGCACATTTACGCACACATTTACGCACACATTTACACGCACACATTTACACGCACACATTTACGCACAAATTTACGCACACATTTACGCGCACATTTACACGCACACATTTACACGCACACATTTACGCACACATTTACGCACACATTTACGCACACATTTACACGCACACATTTACGCACACATTTACGCACACATTTACGCGCACATTTACGCGCACATTTACACGCACACACATTAACACGCACACACATTAACGCTCACACACACACACACACACACACCGGCACGCACACACACACACACACCGGCACACATGTCAGGGATGAAGCAGACAGAGACGGATCGTGGTGCGCCAAACTCTGGAAGTTTATTTAAGTTTCTCTCAAGTTCCACTGGTTTCCTTTGTTTCTTTCTCTCAGACAGAATAAAGGCAGTACACAGTTTATATAGTCATTGTTAAAGGCAGTACACAGTTTATATAGTCATTGTCACGTCACACATCGAAAGACGTACGTGTCACAAAGAGACAGTCACATCATAGTCATAACATGGAGTCCTTGTAGAGTCCTTGTACAGTCCTGCACGTAGGCCATATTGCTATCTAATACTAACACCCTCCCCTTTGATCACATAATCACATGTGATCACTCAATTTGATCAATCAATAAAGTGGAAAAAGAAAAAAAAAACTTTACAAAATTATTAAAAAACTAAGAAAATGTATGCATTAAACTCATAATCATCCAATCAATATCAGTGGATTATATCCTCTATCCTGGGAAAAAAAAAAAAAAAAAGTAAATAAACAAACAAAAACAAAAACAAATCAAAAATAAAAACAAACAAACACTATTGAACACAGTAGAACTCAGCAGATTCAGTCAAAACACAGACAAAAACGAGCTGAGTCTCAAATTAGAAGCTAACTTCACTTTTATAACTCTATACTTTTATTCTAATGCTAATTGTTTACACTACACTTATTTCACTGTATTATTTTCACTATTTAATCTTAGACTGTGTACTTTCTAATCTATTTACAAATATGTTTGCATATTTGCTTTTATTGAGCCATATTCTTAAACATATATTTTAATCTAATAAATCTCTCAATGCTGTGGTTTACTCTCATTATCAGTGGCTTTGTGCCAGTGGGATTTTGCTCCATGTCTATTCTACATTCTCAGGAATAAAACTGAACACAGTAAGACAAATGGTCAACATTTACACTTGAATGTACATCATTAATCAAATTAGTATTATCCTTACAAGAGCTAATCTATTTTAGCAGGTTTGGGGTTGGGGTCAGTTATTCTACAATGGTGTTTGATTCTCTAATCTGTGCTGGAAACTTCTCAATATCTAAATGTCTACTTTTTGTTTGTGTGCTATACACAAATACATCAAAATGCTTTTAAATGCTTTTGAATCTCTGTTGGTTGTAATCTATCTCATTAATCTAAGCTACATTAGTCTAGGCTACACTCATGAACTTTTTGCATTGTCAACATTCACAGATGTTTGAACACAAGTGAATTTGGCAGTATCTAATAAAACTCTACATAAACTGTAATTAACTTTATCTACTTTTGAAATAAATGCTTGTGAACCTATGTTGAAGGAAATGGTCCTTTTACAAATCAATGGCTAGAAATATTCTCTATTTTTGAAAGCATCTATGGTTGATGCATTTATCTAATTCTATTTTTACTCTATTGTGGCTCCAAAGCTCGGCTGCAGTTTGAGCCAAGGCATATTTCTAGTTTGTGACGTCTCTTTTAACATCTACTAAAATGCTACAATGCTCATACTTTATCATTTTAAATCATTTTAACAGTTGCTCAGTCTCCCAGACTAAAAAGTCAAAGTTTTTGTCTGTCAGATGTCTGAAAACTTTACATGTGTTGCATTGGTCACAGTTGTGGTTCTGGTTGTAGCAATAGCATCGGC